ATGCAAAGGTCATAGTTCTCTCTCTAATAATGTCACATTGTAAATTGAGCCCCATGACTGCGGCTTTGTGGCTATTTCGTTCTTTTCCCCCAACGTGATCTCTTTTTGTCTTGAAAGAAAAATAAAGCGGGGAGGGGGTAATTTGATTTTTCTCTCACCAAAGCACAATGTCTGTTCTACACTATCGTTTTGAGGTTGTTGAATTTACCATTTTCACTGCCGTTGCGTATTATTGTCCCTGTGTGTTAAGCCCCATTGACACGTACAGTTCATTCATCGATAAACTGACAGTTGAACCGACGGACGCTAGAGCTGGGTCATCGTTGAACTGACCGTTTGTCGGCGAGAGAAGTTCCGTTTAGACGTACAGTTTTTTATCCTGAAAGTGCCAGTCACACAAAAAGAATTTTGCTTGGTAATCCGGTGTTAAATTGCGTTCCCCGCATGATTTTTTCCGAATTTTGGGTCTTATTATTTGTTAAATTTGGCCAATATTTAGGAACATTTTGGAAAGCATCTTCAACTCCACCTTGGGCAACATCAAAGAAGCCGCTCCCTCGTCGTCATGCCTTCAGTTCGCCGGCCGGCAAATATCTGGCGTCGCCAGATAGCCTATCTGGTGGCTGGACTGAGAACCCTTCGATATCGAGAGGATTGCTCCTTTCCATGCTCGGTTTTACCGGGAAGTTAAAAAGATGCGATGCCTGCCATTCCTCCGATATCCTACAGTTTGTCGATCAATGAACTGTGCGTGTAAATGGGGCTTTAGAATCGGTTTTTATATCAGGCCGGGCTCTGGTTGAGTTAAAAGACAAGGTTAGTGTGCCCGGATTTTAAAGAAAATTGGCTGTTTCGTAAGGCAGAGAGCACTCTATTGTATTACTCCTTCTCAGCGTAGTTCTATGGTATTCGTGGGGGCGTGAAGGCTCGTGTTTTGTGTCTGATTTACGGGTTTTTGCTGTTTCACAACCGACTGGACTTTACGGGGACACCTTCATCAACACTGATTTTTTAGGGAGGGTACAATGTAAATTGCAAATGACGAATTGTGAAAAGGCACTCTTCCTCATTAGTACAATGCAAATATCACAGTGGCTGTCTTCTTCTTCGAGTGGGTATAACACTTTTGCACTGTAAATGTCCTGTTTTCTTTCTTTCTATCCTCCATTCCTTCTTTTATTTTCTACTTTCATTTCTTTGATTCCTTTTTTCTCTTCTTTCTGTTTGTCTTTCCTTTCGTTTTAAAAAATTCTTTTGCTCGCTTGCTCTCTCGTTCTCGCTCTCGCTCTCGCTCTTTTATTTCCTATTGCCCTCTTTCTTGTTTGTTTGTTTGTTTAGTATAGGGTTTTACGGCGCTCGCAACTGCATAAGGTCATATGAGCGCGCGGGACACACCTAATACTTTTTTTTTTAGTAGGAAATTTTGAATTTTGCCCGGGTGGCGGCCGAAGCCTACTCTTATCGATTTTAGACCACCAAGGGATCTTTAACGTGCGCAACTTGCACACGGGCCCTCCGAGATTTTTCGCCCTTGTCCGAGAAGGCTAGGTGTAGATCTTTCCTACCAGAAGATCAGGGGTGTGGCTGAAAGACAGCTGTAAGAAGGAGTCAAGGAGTAACAGTAGAAAGGCTGCAGAAAGAGCCAGGAGCCCAGAGGAGGGGGCAAGGGAGGTGCGGGGGTGGGGGCAGAAAGAGGAGACGAAAGCAGACGACAGAATATTGCTAGAGAGCAGGAAAGGAGGGGAAAGGAGACAATTTTAGAGAAGAAAATTTTTCGGTCGCTACCCGGATTCGAACCCGGGACCTTTGAATGAGAGGCCAACACCTTAACCTCTAGGCCACGAGAGCCCCGCCCTCTTTCTGTCTTCGTCACTCTTCTCCCCCTCCCCCCGCCCCAAATCCCCTTGCTATTCGAACAAAGCGCCCTTCGGTGAGATTATTGGCGTTCCCGGCACTCTGTTTAGAGTCGATGTAGTCTACTTATGATAGTGTCCGCAGGTTGTTTGTGTATGTATGTGTGGGGGCAGATTTTTAAAAAAATTTTTTTTTGGGGGGGGGCGATCTTTTTTGTCCCACTGTCATTTCTGTTTTCCCCCCTGTCATTATATGGTGTTATGGCGTTAACGTGATTCCCTGTATCTAAACTAAGTTGATAGTTATTGGCGGGTGCCCAGGTGTGATATGTTCCTTCTTTTTTTTTTTTTATCAAGCATGTATCCTTATCTCCCCTGCTTCTTTTTTTATATTTTCTTTGTAAGGTACTCCCAAGCAACACCTCCAATCTCTGCACAATATGACCTTCATTGCATTTGTATTGCAATTATCGTATAAAACTCTCACTAAAACTAAAACTAAACTAAACGACTGTGCTTTCTTTCTTTTCTTGCTGGTCGTGCACTTAAGTTTATACATTATGTATCAAAGCATTAGATCTAATAATGTGTTTATTATACCAACACATTATAACGAAAGCTCTTCTCGCTTCTGCTCCGAACGGATACACCGATAGGCTGTGCATAGCGTGGTCAGCCGAGGCAAGTTCGATTAAGAACGGGAGAAAGAAATTTGTGTTTACAGTAATGGTAATAATAGTTCCACTGGTCGCAAAAACAAACGCGATTCCGCTTCTAATATATATACAGTAAACATATTACACTCTGGTGCGGTTTGCTCCTTTTTTTCCTGTCCCACAATCTATCGTCTTTATTCCTCCTCCTTTCATTTGTGCTTTACTATCTAGCTACATCTTCAACCTTGAACATCTATGTAACCTAACTGTTGCAAGTGCCGTAAAACTCTCACTACTTAAACATTTATGTAACGAATAGCGGTCACGGGTTGAGCAACTAGTGCAACAGAGACCCACAACCATGACAAGTCTTGTGACTCGAGCCAACAAACACCACGCTCAAAAACACCCTTACCCCGCCCTCTCGCTCGCTTTTCCGTCATGCACGACATTTCCGGGCCCTCTCTCCGCTTGCAAAGCATCGTCACCAGACCCCCTCTCCCCCCCCCCTCTCTCTCTCTCTCTCTCTCTCTCTCTATCTCCCTCCCTCTCTCCTGTCCCCTCTCCCTCTCTCTCTCTCCCCCCCTCTCTCTCTCCCCCCTCCCCCCCCTTTTCCTGTCCGTCCACCCCGTGCGTTCAACCAGCCACCCAATCGCCCGCCGCCCTGTCACCGCCTCTTTATAAAGGGCGGTTGCGGTCCTGTGGTCGTCCGTTTTTCCGAAACCTCTCGTGAAATTCGTCACAACCTCCCACTCTCTCGACTCGACTCTTCAAGACACTTTTCCCGATCGCTCGCACCGGCCGACCAGATCTAAAACCTCAGAATCACATGCTGACCAGGTCGCTGAGAGACACAACACTGCGACAAGGTTGCCGTCCACTCCGTGAAGACGTCCGGTCGCGCTCAAGTGGCTGACTGACCCACCACCCCACGGAGAAAAGGTGGGTCTTAGTTTCAGTACCGTACTGAGTTTTACGGCACTTGCAACACAATAAGGTCATATTACAAGTGCGAAGATTTATTAGAGGTGTTACGAGAGAGTAACAATAACAAAAAAAAAGAAAAAAAAAGGAGAAATCAGGACGATAGTATAAATAGTGTTTGATAGGAGAGAAAGAACAAACTACACCAGAGCACCCGCCAACCACAAAAAAGTTGGCGTTGTTCGCCTGTCAAGGCACACAATAGAATAATTATTAAAAGTAAAATTATGGGTCTAAGCCCTATTAAGAGGCGAAATAATTCGTATATACGGTATAAAAGAAACCTACGCGAAACGAAAATTTGTAATATATATGTATGACAGCAATGATATAATGACTTTTCTAGACATGCAGTAGGGGAGTTCTAACCCGCAGATACGAACCGATCTAAATTGTATCGATGGGGGCATTAAACATCTATATTTAAAAGAAAAGAAAAAGAAGAGACACTGCTCAGATACCTAATCTTACTCAACCCAAGTTCGCCTCTCAAGAACAGAATATATTAGAAAGAAAAAAAAACCCAACATGCTTTGACCGATTCCACGCACTGTGTGAAAAAAAGAACATCAGTTTGTTGTTGTTGTTGTTGTTGTTGTTGTTGTTGTTGTTGTTGTTGTTGTTGTTGTTATTGTTGTTGTTGTTGTTGTTATCGATCCAACAACAGCTGGGCTCTCGCCCTTCTGTCCGAGGATGCCATTTAGTGATAAGTGCAGGTTTGCTGCTGCTGTAATGTTCCATAGAGTGTGTCGTTAATGTCAAGTGTCGGAGGGAGAAGTGTTTCATTTGTTTAAAATTACCCCCCCCCCACCCCCCACTTTCTTTTTTTTAATGTGTGAAGGCTGTATCCCTCCAAGTTTTGTTCTTCGCTCAAGCAAAAAGCTGTGATACGATACACCGATTACATTTTTTCACTCCGTTGCTACTCGTAGTTACATGATAGTGCAAGCCTATTATGGTTATCATCTCTTATGTGAGGTATCCACAACTTATTTTGTCGCTTTTAAGTTAAAGGACAAGCGGGCTAACCCAGGTTTTGAGGGTTTCCTGACCTACATCAAAAGTGGGCATTTCACTACCTGTAGGAGAAGTTTGTTTTCTTGGTGTGTATATTTGTTTGGTTATAGAGAAATCTCTCCTCGTCTTTTAAAGATAGTTTTCATGGGTCCAAAAACTTTACCTTCAATTTTCTCAGAACAGCAGTTTATGGGATAGTCCCCTTGTGCTTAAAAGTGACAATTTTATAATTACATCCACACGTTTGTGCCTGTCTCTCTCTTACATTCAATTTCCGACTGTCGCTCCGTTTGCTCAGTTGGTGTCTAGCTGGACCACAGAGCGGATGGTCCTGGTTCCAGTCCCAGATTAGGGTCATCGTGTTGTGGAGTTTTCAATGCTCTCAACCTATTTGGCCTCGTCCTTTTGAAGACACGTTAAGTTCGGAGGTCCTCGCCTCTTAACCCCCATCCGTACGCCCTGGGGTCATTTTGTAGCCCCGGGGTTATATTTTTTACATTTTAGAATACTTCTAGTACGAAGATCTCTTTGAAACTTTCAGTATTCTTTAAAAAAAATCATTTTGATAGACTGCTATGCAAAGCGTACGGATTGGATTAAGGAATAAATTTCCTCTTTGGAAAGTGGGTGGCACAGAGTTCCCCACGTCGTATGGATACGATAGTAAAACATGACGTATGGATAGGGTTAAACAACCAAATGGTTTGATAGGGGCGTTCAACCCATACATTTACTTACAATACCCCTACTCAGTTTCCGACATCTATATTACTTTTCATAACTCTCGTTAATAGAGCCAGCTACCATGGTGGTGTGGGATAGATTGACTCAAAACCACAAGTAAGCCTGCTTGTAGATTGGTATTATTTATGTAATGCACACAGTGCTATTTTAGTCACACGAGGGAACAGGTGTGCCGTGTTGCAGGTACATGATAATGGACATATAGCTTCTAACTCTCTCTCCATGCGGAATATCTATTTTCTATTTCACCCGACCTTTAAAAAAAAATTCTCAAGGTGTATTTGCATACTGACCAAGATGGATGGTTAACCCTTCAAATGATTGCAAATTGAGCAGATTGTACAAACATGAAACTTATATATGAATGTAGAATGGGCATAGAAATGGTTATGAGAAGTGGAAATGGGAACACGTGATTACTTAGAATGCCAGATGGAGCAGTGATGCACAGGTTAGGGGCTTTTCTGGTTCGTCACTTGAAGTGGCCAGTTGGAGGGAAAGAGATGACTCACAGAAAAGACTATTCCTCCTTTTTTGTACTCAGCCAGATTTGTTATCTAAGTTTTGAGCAACACAGACTTCTCTACAATTCTGATCCTATTTAACCCATTTGCATATAAAATAAAACCGAACTGAGTAGAAAAGTGGGTGGTTGGCGGGTGCTCTGGTGTGGTTTGATCCTTCTTTCCTATCAAACATCTATCACCATTATCTCCGCTCCTTTTTGTGCTTGTTGCTCCCTTGTGTTGCAATTACCGTAAACTCTTACGGAAAAAAATGAGCAAAAATGAATTGTTCAAGCAGTAAACATGCGTTTAGAATATAGGTAAAATGAATTTGCTGATGTTCGATATATTTTTAATATGACTAAACTGTAAACTACCGAGTGATGCTGATAACCAGCTGTACTGGTGCGCCCTATCGTAAGAGATAAGTTGCTGGTTGGAGGATGTTACGTGTAGGTTCTACTTCCTTACTGCCTCGTTCTTGTCTCTGTCTGTGTAAATTTTTGCAGCATTGGATAGCTTTTATTGGGTCGATGTTCTTCTGTTTACTTAACTGGCAGGTATATTAAAGGTGACGTAGAGTTCAAATTCCGCTTTAAGTCAATGCTAATGTGAACGGGTTGGTATGGTATTTGATTTAGGGGCGCTCTGTTGCTCTCTATTTTAGCGGAGTACGATGCGAATTACCCTCTTACGAATTCCCATTGGGAATTCTTGCGTTTTCAGAAAGGCTCGGCCCTATCAGAGATGGATGTTATATTCGGAGGTCCTTCATTCCTTTTACTCTTAGATACCATACCATATCGATCGAAAGGGACATCGAACCCTTATTATAATACCCCCATAAGATATCGTGTATCTCGGAATTTGATATAGCTCTTTTTTTCCTCGTGGGTTTAACAGATTAAACCAAACGCATTGTATACATGGATGCTTGATTCGTTTGAAATTCCGAATTGTTTTGCTGACAACGCAAAATTAGTCACCTGAAAGTACCAGTTTTTTTGGTGTTTTTTTTTAGCTCTTTTACTTCTGTCATTAGTTGCGATGTGTATGTTTGGAATATGACATGCACATGTGGTTAGCTCATCTCCAAGATCCAAACAATAAATAGGTATTAAATAAAGTTGCAAACAATATAAGATATAGGCCTATTGTTTGAAAAAGATAAGATTAAATTAACTTGTTATTATGTTCTCGACGAGATCAGTTGGCTTACTTGCATTTGATTTCTTCTCTTCATACGGCGAGTGGGTCATGGATTTCACTTTTCACTACTTTCAAGAGGAATATAAAGTGAATCCGTGGGTGTTTGGCGGGTGCTCTGGTGTGGTTTGCTTCTGCTTTCCTATCAAAACACCCATTGTCCCTATTTCTCCTCCTTTTTTGTATTTTTTTACTCTTTTGTAACATCTAATCTTCGTCACTTATATGCCCGTATTGTGTTGCAAGTACCGTAAAACTTTTACAAACACTTAAACGAATCCATTGAAGCAAGGAAGAAAAGTACTTATTGAACCGTGTACTAATTGTGCCTACGTGATCTCGGGCACTGCTTCTTGCTCTCCGTCTCCAAATATTTTCAACTTCCTCTGTTTTGTTTTTCCAACTCGTCGCGCCATTTGCTGTCGTTGATATAATCCTTCTCAAGGCTTCTGGCGGAGACAAATAAGGGCTTATTATTTGTGTGTTTATATTCCTGAGAGACGCATTCACCTACATCTCTCTTGCGCACTCGTTTTGCGCAATACTTTCCGTGTAAACACTGTACGCTCGCTCAGAACTGCGCACCATTAGAATGCACCCCCCCACCCACAAAATAAAAATAGAATAGAATAAAAATAAGAATGTTAAAATATGTTTAAGAAATGAGTATAAAACCTTCATACTCGTGAGGATCGATCCAACGACACTGGCATTTTTTAAAAAGGTTTTTCGTTTTTCGTTCGTTTGGCTTTCCACACGGCGATGCGCTGCTGCTGGCATCCGACCAAGTCGGTGAGATGAAGTGAAGGAAGGGTATCGTGAAACGAGGCCAGAATCTCTCTCTCTCTTCCAGTCAGTTTATTTTCCCCCGCGAACAGACCAATCCATACAGTCGGTGCCAAGGAGGTCTCTCATGCGTTTCGTTTTGCTGAAGGAATTGGCAGCACTCTAGGAGTTTTCGAGCTCCGGTATGTTTTTGTATGAACAGTTACATGTACTTACTTAATGCTTCCGAGTTAGTAAGCATCTTTTGTTTTGTTTACTCTAAGATTTTGGGTAAGCAAGAAGCTTAGAGATTATGCGTGGGTTTAGATTGTAATCTGTTTTGTCTCCCGTCTTTCATTTGTTTCATTTTCATTTCTCAAGAGAGGTCTTATGAATCTAGGTCTAGGTCTGGGTTTTCATGGCGCTTTCTCATGTCTTTTTACTTCCTGGTGGATTGTGGGGGTGTAGTATGCATTGTAAAGGGCGTTGAGCTTGCTGTTGAGAGGGAATTTGCCCTGTAATAGAAGCGTTGTTTATTATTGTTATTATTATTATTATTATTATTATTATTATTATTATTATTATTCATGATGATGATGATGATGATAATCATGATCAATGATGGTAATAATGATGATGATGGTTATTATTATTATTTCTGTTGTTTTGTTATTTTCTCCATTATTGTTGTTTTTGTTGTTGATGTTGTTGTTGATGTTG